CCAGCACTTCCCACTGGCACTGATGCTTGTTTCCTAGAGCAGTTTTGGCTCTTGCTCCCTGGCAGAGGCTGGGACGTGTTATACTGGGGACACGTGTGTGTGTGTGGCTCTGCTCTCCCTGATGTTATTTGGCTCTGTTCTGGTTCTAGAGGTAAGAACATGAGGCAGCCCCAGGTTCACCATGCACTGCCTTTGACATCACTCACATGCCTTTGTTGAGTGATAGGTGCATGTGGCTCCCAAGCAGGGATGAGCTCACTCCCTCACTCAGATACAAACACAAAAATAAACTTTGATATCACTTTGATATCTTCTGAGTTGGAAGGGACACACAATGATCACTGAATTCAATTCTTAAGTAAAAGGTTCATATGGGGATCAAACCTGTGACCTTTTCAGGGAGTGGAGGGAGACTCCTGCTTTTCCAGTTTGGACTCAACAAAGATTCAATTTTTTCGTTTGAGAAGGAAAAAAAGAAGAGAAAAACAAATCCCCTGGTTTGGGTTTGTTCCAGGCAGAGCGTCTGCCTTCTGCTGGCCTTGCTCCTGGGAGTTGCCGTGAAATGGAAATAGCCCAACACAGGCCTGGGAGCAGAGGGAGCTTCCAGCAGGTAAAATGTGAACAAACTGAGGCAAAGCCCCAGGTCAGTGGTCCATGGGGCTGTACCAAGGGGCAGATGTGCGGATGTTTTACTTGGACGTCTTGACAGTCATCCCTGGAGACCCAGTGCTTGTCTGGACCCTATTCCCTATTGCCCTAGCTCTGGGAGATGAACAGAAATGCCGTGCAAAGAGGAGCTTCCCCGTCTGGGCTGTCTCCACAAAGGTCCTGGAAAGCCTTCCCAAATGCTGCAGGGCAATGCAGGAAGATGTGCAGTTGCATGGAACTGTGACATGCTCTGGCTGCTGGCCTGGCATTGCTGAACTGGGATCACCTGTAGCTTTTCTCCAGATTGACTCTCCCTGTGTTATAAAGGATTTGCATGCATTGCTTCAAAATGCCTGCCTATTCCTATCTCACTGACTCTCCACTTGGAGTTTCTCTACCCCAATGGAGAGAGTGGGGGACTCCCAAGGTCTCCTCTCACCACCCAAATTGCTCCATGTCTCCCAATCCTGTTTTGTCTTCTTTATCTTGCATCTACTGCAAGTCCTCTTTCAGTCCCACTTTTCTCTCACATATCCTTTTTTTCTAGGGCTGCACTTGTTCTCCTGCTGAGAAGATCCAGAGGGGAGTCCACCTGGCTGGGAGGCTCTGGGTGGCTGTGTGGGCTTGCTGGGGGCTCACAGGCAGACCACAAGATCCTGCTGCCAGCTCCAGACAAGGAGGTGTTGGGGAGAGGAACTGGCCTGCCAGAAGGGACATCTTAGAGAAATTGGCTCCTTCTGGAAATAGAAAGCCCCTTTTCCTCTGCAGTGTACCAGAAATGATCACTACAAGGAATACTTGGAGGTCACATGGAGACTAAATTTGCATGTACAAAACTCTCTTTGAGAGTCACCCATAGGTTTCTTTGTCCATGAACCCCAGGAAATGGCACAGGGGTGTGCTGGGTTATCACCCAGCATCTGCCAGAGTGACAATGGGTATGCCTGGCTCCAGGGGCCCATGCCAATTCCTGCAGCATCCCACCTCAGGAAAGGATGCTTTCCAGAGAAGAAATCCCATACTCTGCCAGGCACTGTTGACTTTCATCCCTGCAGGCCAGTGTGTCCCAAGCTGCCCATTCCAAGGCAGAGGACATGCACTTTTCTGTGGCTACTTGAATTAAGTGTCATTTGTCACAGCAAGCCCTGCACCCACTTCATACTCATCATCCTTGAGGACTCTCCTCTTGGCACAGACAGGGACATAATGAAGAAAAGACTTAATTAGACTGCTTCACAGTCCCATCTCATTTACTGTCCTGCATTAATCAGGGCCTGGGGAACTGTGCAGTTGGGAAGAGAGAGGACAAGCCCTGAGTGCCTGGTGTTGTTGGGTCACCATCCATCAACTGTGGTACGTGCTGGCATAGGAGCAGCATGATGGGGTCAGGTGGGCACCAAGGGGGCAAAAGGATTTCCCAGTCGAACATAGGGTTGTTCAAGAGGTTTGGAGCAGCATCCATACCTGGGATTGGTAAATTTGATTTTATAGCGGGCTTTTTGTTGTTGTTGTTGTTGTTGTTTTGGGTTTTTTGCTGTCAGCTTTGCCATGCCGTATGCATTGGGCCACTGCTCAGGCCACATAGCAGGTGATGTCAGGTGCTCAGGGACATGTTTGATTGCTTTTCTAGCTCACTTCCCCATTCTCTGAGCACCCACTGGGTGTTTGCTGGAGATTCCCCGACAATTTTTTTTGCAACTGACGCCTGCACCAGCCACAGGTTTAACTTTTCCACTCCCGACTGCATTTGGCTGCTGCTGATATCCGGCGAATATCAAATGCGTCCCGGATCCCCTGGGAGCGAAGGCGGCAGGGCGGGGTGTCCGCTCAGCTGCGCCGGCTCTGGGGGAGCCGCGTGTCCCCGCGGGCTCCACTCGGGACAGGCAGCCTTTTGTCACCATCTAGTGGAAACACGCAGCCACAGGCTGAACAGGGCGTTTGGGGACACTCACTTACTTAATCTGTGATTCCTGCGGGGTTCCCCCTCGAGCTGGCTACCCGATTTTCCTGGCTTTTGGCCAGCCGCGTTTGCCTCGCAGCCCAGTTCCAACCCCAGTCCTGGGCAGCAGCAGGGTAAGGTGTTCTGAGGTGTTCCCAGCGCTGCAAGGCTCGGGAAAGGCACAGGGGTGAGCGTCTACTATGCCAGAAGCTGAAAATCCATGGCAAATCCCTCTTGGGGTCTCCACTAAACCAGCTAAATTCCCTTTAACTGTGGAATTAGATCAACACTCCCAAGCCACAAACATGCTACAACAAGAGGCAGCCATAAAAGGAACTTAAATATATTTACTGCACAAATGGAGCTGTTAAACCTGCTCTTTTGGCCAAATTACCCCCCTCACTGATGCTTCTCTGTGAGACTTCCCTCGGCCTTGAAATTCCTGGAGCTGCCTGCAGAGGAGCTGGGCTGTGCTGTACCACTGCGGACAGCCCTGCAATGTGGTGTGTCCCAGAAAAAGGCTGGCCTTGCTCCACTCTGGCAAGTGTCTGTCCTCCTGCTCACTGCTAGGGCTGACTGGAAATCCTGGCTACACATGGGATACAGGGAACAGCCCAGCCTAAACACTGGCATCTGCAGTGTCCTGGCTACTTTTCTCCCTGCAGCATCCTGGACCCTTTTTGGCCTTAACAGCAGCTGCCAAAGTTGGGCCATATCCAGACCTGCTCAATAGTGCGTGGATAACACAGTGCATGGATTGATACAGAGCATGGATTGATACGGAGCACAGATTGACATGGAGCACAAATTGACATGGATCATGGATTGACACAGCCCCGTTGGCAGTGCTGGTTCTCACTCCTCTGCAGAGGGTGCTGTGATCCTTCCCCCAAATGCTGGGTTCTGCTGCAGCCTCAGAGATACCACTGGCAAGGACAGCCTTCCAACACACTGCTGGGGAAGGAGACGGAACACAGGCCATACTGAGAAGTCCCCTGCCAGGGTTGGAACCAAGGCTGGACAGCTGCCAACCCAGCCCTTTGCATATTCCACTGTTGGCAATGTTATTGGACACATGCAGTGTCCCAAAACTGCCCCTGGCTAAAGCAACAGTTGTACCTTTCTCATAGCAAACCAGCCTCCCACAGCACAGAGATGAACCAAGGCCAGCCCCAGCACAGGCAGCAGAGCTGTTCAGGCAATCATGGTACACACATGGATTTTGTGTACACACATGCATGATGAGCAGAGTGCAATCAGCTCTTGATTCAGACAGTTAAAAATCACTTTCAGGCCTCTCTGTCTTCCATTCCATCATTCTGCATCCCCTTGGGCCACACTTGGTCTGTGTCACTGCTTCCCCAGTGCAATGTCCCCACTTGGGGACAGCTCCTGCAGCACGCAGTGGGACATGAGCCAGACACTGCTATTCCACAGGCAGAGTCCAGCTGCCCTACACAAGGGGTTTTCCCAGGTGGGATCCCCATCTGCTGGCATGTATGTGACATGGGCAGTCCCAGCTATTCCAGCTCCTTCCTTCCCCATACTGGCTGATGGTGGCAGGCTCTCCACTCCTGGAGAGGCTGACTGATCCCATCACCTCTCAGTGAGCAGGTGCCCTTAGCTATGGCTCAGCTTGCCTGAAAACTGCCTCTCCTTACCCAGCAGAGAAGAAAGAGGCACTAGGACAGCCTATGAGCCAGGTACATTGCCTCATTCACAGTGTGTCCCTTGCTTCAGGTGGCACTGAACAATCCTGGGATGTCCCCTCAAGGGCATCAGGGCCATGCAGGATGGCATTCACTGAGAATGCATTTTTATTCTAGGGCTCACTAGGATCCTGTGTTCCCCAAATCAGGTGCTTATCTCGAGTAGGCCTTGGAAGGGCAAATTGCTAGAGTCACCCATGCCTGAGTCAGGAGCCCCCAGGAGCTGGCTGGATGCCCAGTTTGAAGTGGTGGGGGATGAAAGGCAGTGGGGAAACCCCAGCACTGGAGGCTGCTCTGTGTCAGATAGGGGCAAGGCAGCACTCAGCCCTGCCAGCAAGTGAAACAGGGGTGCTGACTCTGCCCTGGGGTAATTTCTACCCTGACTTTATAGCCACCAGAGAAAATTTCCACAGGGAGAAAGGTGGTGTCTTCTTGCAGTGACTGAATTTGAAAGCATCCATCTGACAAGCACAGGCTTACTTTTTTCTTCCACTTTGGGCCTTTTCTCCCAGCCTGAAGCAGCAGAGGGTGGCAATTTGTACTACACAACTGCAATGCTCCTGTGCCAACTGCAACCTCAGCAGCAGCACACTGACCGGCTCCTGCGGATGCTTCTTCAAGCTGTCCACGGGTGTTTAATGCCTCCGGAGGGTCGGGAGGGGATGCGGGGTGAGACGGAAGGGGTGCCAGAGACAGCGCTGGGACTAGCCCAGTCCCAAAACGGAAGGCAAAAGCGTGCTCGAGCAGAGTTCCACTCCGGGCGCCGAACAGCCGCAGGGCCGGGCGGGGCAACCGAGATTGCGTGGAATCGCAGCACCTCTCCTGGCCCCGGGACTTGCGGACCCCCGGGACCCGCGGGACCCCCGAGACCCCGGCCCGGCCCTACCACGTGGCCGCCGCCCGCCACGTGCGCTCCCTTGGCCCGGCCCCGCCGCCCAATCAGCGCGCAGGCGCCGAGCTGCCTCCGTCCCATTGGCTGACGCCGGGTCCTCCCGGGCGGGCGGTGCGTCCCCCCGCGCTCGCCCCCCGCCGCACGGCCCCGGGGCAGTAACGCGCCCTCCGGTTGGCCAATCGCAGAGCGCCGCCGATTGGCGCAGCGGCTCGAGGGGCGGGGGCTGCGATTGGCCGGGCGGAGCGGAGCGCTCGGCGATTGGCCGGGACGGGGGCGGTGGGGGCGGGGCCTGACGCGGGGCTAGGAAAGGGGGCGGAAGGGGCGCGCGCTCGCTCTTTCGTGTCAGTGCCCGGCCCGGCCGCCCGCGCGTCCCCGCCGCTCCCGCCGCACGCCCGCGGCCCGATCCCCACGCGCCGCCGCCCCGCCGGACGCGCCCGCCCCGGTCCCGACACAGCCCGGCCGCCGCCCCTGCGCCGCCATTCACAGCCGCCATCATGGTGAAGATCACCAAGGTAAGGGCGCCGGAGCGCAGCCGCCACGCGGGTAGCGGGCGGCCGCCGCCATGACGGGGCGGGCGGGTGCGGATGG